CACGCTTTATTTGTGTATATATTTATATATATTTCTCATTATCGAAGCTGAAGTATTAGTGGTATTGTGGTGTTTATTTATTCAGCATGGATGTTCTCCTTTGCTTTTGGTTTGGGATGGAACGAGGTAGGGATCCAGGTGTTATGGGGATTGGGGAACAGAGATTTTAATTATTTATTTACATCATGAACCCAATTTTATCCTATTTTATTCCTTTCATAAATAACGTTTTCTTTATTATTATTATTATTTGTTGAAAAAATATTTTAAATTTTAAATTACACAATTTTAACTATTAGGTGTCTTGATATTAAGGGATTCATTTTTATTCAATAATTTTTATTTTATAGTATAAACTATTTAAATTGTAAAATAAAAAATTCTTTTTTTTTTTTATTAATGGAACCTTTCTCTTTTATTTAAGCTCTCAACTGGTGCTTTTTATCGTTAGAAGATATATGGGCTTCTTCCTCAGGGGCAGAATTATATGGGCTTCTTAAGGTTCCAGTCAACAAAGCGAAATCGGGTCTAGAGATTTTAAAACCCAACAAATACGGGACCACCCTTATTTCCCAAACTTGAACTCCCGCTCTCCCGAGTTCGTTCCGTCCTTAACTAGTCATCACCACCGCACCCAAGTTTTAGTTGAGCTTAACTCAACAAGAACACTAAGAAAGAAGCAACGCCCCCTTAAATATCGCCTTCTTCCCCTCCCCAACACCTACCTTCCATCTCCTGGTAACTCTGCTAAACTCAGAATTTTTTTTTACTTAAACCAAAGTTCTTATATGGTGTACGCCAATTCTTGTCTTCCAAACTCAAAAAAACTGGCCAGAAAGTAAGGGTTTCTCTTTAAGTCTTTGCGTCTACTGCTTGATTTCATTGCTCTAATTTTGTTTGTGAAATAATCGGCAGAATGTCGAACATAATTCTTTTTGAGGATATCTTTGTGGTTGATCAACTCGATCCGAGTGTCAAAAAGTTTGATAAAGGTAAAATCTTTTGCTACTTTTTTTTTTTTAATAAAGTCAATTAGCTCACTTGGGTGTTGAATGTTACTTAGTTTCTTCTTCGCAGCATGCGCCTGCTGCATGGTCATATGTGATCTGTCACTTCCAAATTTAATTTTCAATTGTATGCAAAACTCCCTAATTTGTTTGATGGTTTTTTGATGGGCAAATAAGTTAGTGTGCTTCAATATTGCAGGCCCCTTGTCTTGACTCAATAATTAATCTAGTTATCCGGGTTAATTGGTACCAATTTGGTTAAACTCTTAAATATGAAGCTGAAAAAGGAATAGAAGGAAAGGGGAGGGAAATTGAAATTGAGACTGGGTAGAGGAGTGTAAAGGGAAAAGAGAACCTTTGAACTAATGCTCGGACAATGGATAAATTTGTGCTTGAAAATCTGAAGTTTATTTGCTTTTTCACAAGAAAGAGGAATGAAGATGACCAAATAATAATAATAATAATAATAATAATAATGAAAAGAAGAATGAAGGGAGTTGGATCCGAGTTCTTTCTGTGTTATCTTAATGGGTTTTAATATAAATTTTGATTTGATCTCCTATGATGTGCTTCAGTTACACGTATTGAAGCACGGAGCCAGAACTGCAAAATGTTTATGCACCTAGATGTGAATGCAGAAATATATCCCATGCATGTAGGTGAAAATTTTCCAATGGCATTAGCTCACACATTGAATATGGATGGAGTGCCAGATACTGGCTATTACGCTCAAGTATATTTCTGCCTTGTATGTTTTTCACATTCTTTGTTATTATCTTTGTTGCCATAAAAATTGTTCTACTTGAAAGAGAGGTACTTTCATTTATATCACTGTTCCTGCATTTTACATCACTGTTATTAGGGAATTATCTTTTTCACCTCCTTTTTTTTTTTTTTTTTTTTTTT